GAGCGCCTGGCCGGTGGTCACGGAGAGGGGCTGAAGATCGCCGCGTTGGTCCTCTCGCGGGCGGAACATCACGTCAAGATCTCCGCGAGCGGGACCTACTGGAACTTTGGGTTCAACGGCCACTCGAAATCGAACTTTTACTGCCGGCTGTCACCGGCCAAGGCGAAGCGGGATCCCGGGCCCGCCAGCGACGGCATCCTGCTCCCCCGGCTGACCGCCGAGGTCGGACGGGACGTCTCGGTGCTGGTCGAGAAAGGCCAGAAGGGCCAGCGGTTGTCGCTGGAAGATTTCAAGGCCTGGATGTGGGACACGGTCGATCTCCACGCGCCGTCGAGCTCGGTCCGGACGCCCGTTGGCGACCTGCTGCTGGGGCCGGCGCACCGGGGCCGCCTCTATCTCAAAGGCCTCCGCGTGCCGGAGCCCAGCCGGGACGAGCAGACGTTCCGCTTCGGCTACAACCTGGTCCACGGCAGCGTCGATCGGGACCGAAAACGCCTGGTCGACGCGTCCGAGGCGATGGCCAATGTCCATTCGATCTGGGAGAAGGCGATCGCACGGGACGAAGCCAAGGCGCTGCCGCGCTATCTGGAGCTCTTGCGAGACCACGCATCTTGCGCCGACGCGAGCGGCGCGGAGCGGTTGGTCTCCGAGTCGACGGCCAAGAAGTTGTGGGCCGCAATCCGTCGTGAGCCATCGGCAGAGGGCGAGTTCTATTGCCAGACATCGGACCAAGACGAGGTACGTCTTCTGTTCTCTTCCCCCTTCTTTCCCCTTTCCCCTTTCCCCTGGCTTGATTTCCTGCGTAAATTACGGCGCTGTGCGTTTCGGTCTCCGAGCAGTACCAGTCCATGGATACATAAGACCCATCTAACCCTCCACTGCTGGACTAGGATTTCTCCGTCATCCGGTCGGAACTGAAGAAGGAGCCACGGCCGCTGTCCGAACCACTGTGGCAGATTCTCCGGAAGTATGGCTTCGTGCGAAATCCGCAGGAAGAGCTGCAACACCGCCTCGAGAACTCGGAAGAGGTTGGCGTGCCCGACACGCCGTTCGCACATGGCCTGGTTCGTACTCTGCGGGCCTTGCTCGCACTGACGCCGCCCACCCAGCAGACGACCATCGTCTTTGTGCGGTCCGCGAGTGACTCGGTCGATATGGCCTATCGCATGGAAGCCAACGCACTCTACATCCATGAGAAGTGGCTTCATGTGCGG